CTGGTTCGTATTGCAGTATTTTAATATTTACATTTATCACGAGTCAATAGTCTCCAAAATATTACGCTAGTTTCAGCTGTGTTTCAGTAAGGTTTTAATTTTAATTTTTTGTACAGGGTGGGTCAAATTGGACGCTTTTAAAGGGAAATACACTTTTCTATAAGAGATAGACAAAAACTAATATCGGTGTCTGGAGCTCAATTTTCATCAAAAATATAATGGTGAAAACCGTACATCGATATCTGTTACCGTTTCAGAGTTACGGGGTGTTTTTCAAAAATGCGCATTTTTGACAAATCGCTGGACCTTTTTTCCTATGGAAAATTTTGTATTTCTATGAAAACATTTTCAAAGCACCTTTTTACGTAGAATTTAATGGTTTAAGTATTTTTTTTTTAAATTAATAATTTAAGAGTTATCAACAGAAAAATTGATTTTTTATTTGGGACACCCTACATATTTTTAATTAACTGAAAAGAACTTAAAATTATCTTTCCAAAAATATAGCACACTTGATATATTGTTATAATCCCCTTCGAAATACAGAATTTTTAAAAGTTCACCACTTTTAACTAGTAGGCTTTGAACCCCTTATTGATGATATGCCCCTAATGAAACTCGAAAATATATTTTTTCAGCAAGACGAGGCATCGCCTCAGAACGCTGAAGTTATCAGCAAATTTTTGCAGCCAATTTCAAGAATAATTGAATAACTAACCAAGTTCCCAGCCGTTGGCCGTCGAGGCCGCCGGAGTTAGTGGCTATGGATCTAATCGTATGGATATCTTTGCGGAAGAATAAAGGTTCTTATGTTTAAATTGCCCGTATAATCTAGACAAGAATTAGAAATACTTGGCAGTTATTAGAGGGTTTCTTTCACCCCCACTAGGTTAATGAATTCCGCGAGAAATATTCAAAAACCGCCCTGTCTGTCCATAACAGAAGAGGGTCGATATGTTGTAGCAAAATTACCTGTAGCAAAATCTCATGTCTTCGTTTGCTATTTATTTTTATTGTTATTAGATATAGTTTAAATGTCTTGATGTTGGTCAAATATAGTTTAAATTGTTATAAAATTCTACATCTCTCATTGCAAATATTATTTTCGTTTTAACTGATGCTCACAGCTAGAATTTTTTTGCATTACAGCCGGCGCCGTTCAAAGCCTACTTATTTAAAGTGGGCGAATTTTTATAAACACTATATCTCGAAGAGGAATCGAGCGAAATATCAAGTGTGCTATATTTTTGGAAAGGTAATTTTAAATTCTTTCCAATAAATTAAAAATATACAGGGTGTCCCATATAAAAAATCAAATTTTCTGTTGATAATTCTTAAATTATTAATTTTAAAAAAATTATACTTAAACCTTAAACCATTAAATTCTACGTAAAAATATGCTTTGGAAATGTTTTCATAAAAATACAAAATTTTCAATAGCAAAAAAGTTACAGCGATTTGTTAAAATTGCACATTTTTGAAAAACACCCCGTAACTTCGAAACAGTAATAGATATCGATATGCGGTTTTCACCATCATGTTTTTGACAAAAATTGAGCTCCAGACACCGATAGTAGTTTTCTTCTCCTATAGAAAAGGGCGTCCCTTTAAAAGCGTCCAATTTGACCCACCCTGTAAAATTAGCAAACATCGATAAGATATTATATCATGTAAATCATGTTCTACTCCAATGTCTGTTCATGTCCTTTATCTGTTATGAAGTCATCAAAATAAATATAGATTATGCAGGTTACAAAATTAAACAAACGTAACGTTACAATTATATAAACCAACAGCAAACCGAAAATAATAAACTCTAAGAGACAACTATGTATAACTTAATATTTATGTACCATACAAAAACGACGTTACATTTGCTGTGGAAATAAAGATCGCTGTCATTTATATTATTTGTAAATGAGGGTAAATCAGTGTACAGGGCCGGCAATAGTGCTTTGGGCATCTGTAGCTCCTAGAATTTTGTTTCAGTGTAAACCAAGTATGTACGAGGATGTATTTCAGGAAAATAATTTTTTAACTTCTAAAGGGTGGCTCAAAAAAGTGTGAGTGGATCGGGATAATTTTTTTTTAAATGGAACACCCTGTATATTGTTGCATTTTGGCTTCCTTCCAGATCACTTTACAGAATCCTAAGATATGAGTAAATATATTTAGGTAATTTCAGAGATATTCATAAACAATTAAAAACCTTAATTTTACAACCCTAACCTTAATTTTCAACCTTCATTAAAAAAATTATTTACAAATAGGTACAAGAATTGTCCTGAATTCGTCCATGGAACACCCTAGCTAAGTCGTATCCCAAGCTAAGTCGTATATTATTTTTTTTATTGGATGGAGAGTTAAAAAATTAACATTTTTTGTATTTAAAGTATTTCAAAATTTTTAATAGTTTCGCAGATACACCAGTATAACTTCATATTACTTAATTTTCAACCTTCATTAAAAAAATTATTTACAAATAGGTACAAGAATTGTCCTGAATTCGTCCATGGAACACCCTAGCTAAGTCGTATCCCAAGCTAAGTCGTATATTATTTTTTTATTGGATGGAGAGTTAAAAAATTAACATTTTTTGTATTTAAAGTATTTCAAAATTTTTAATAGTTTCGCAGATACACCAGTATTACTTCATATGGCTCTTTCAACGGTAAAATACGAGCGAAAAATCATTGGATGGCTTTGATAAAAATTTACTGTGGAAAATGCCATATAAAATATAAAACCGCGAATATCTGCGAAACCGTTAAAAATTTTGAAATACTGTAAATACAAAAATTGTCCATTTTTAATACTTAATCTATTGAAAAAATAATATACCTACAGGTTGTTCCACTTAAAAAAAAACGAAGAAAAATTATTTTATATTTTAGAAAGTTTGGCGTAGAATTTTGAACATCCTGTATAATTTACGATTACCATATTTATACCAAAGTAAGTACAATCCATCTAAAGTAAATACCTAACATAGTTGTGATTTCAGGACAGTTCTTGTATTTTTAAAAATTCTTTTAAGAAAGTGTGAATTTGGCTTGTAGTGTATAGCGTAAGTGACGAAGCGTAAGAAAACGTTGATTGATAAATACGCGTCGCTCACACCGCCCGAATCGCGCGCTATTGTCTCCCACGTAGGAACGGAATGGATCGGAACGTATCGGATCGGAACGGAATGGAATGGAAATTTTGAATTACCGCACTTTAGCGCGAACTTCCTGGAAAAAAATGATTAGTACATATTTGAGTAATTTACGACTAGATTGGCTTGGTTTAAGTTTTAGTGTGTGTTGTTCTTTTGCGACGGATACTTCAGACGAAGAATTTGTGACATTTTGGCATTTTCTTTTCATTTGTTGATTATGATACTTTTTATCACTCAATAAATAAATATGTGGAATGTGGATAACCACGAATAAAATTAATCAATTGTTCTTCATTCATCGTATCAACAAACACAGAACGGCGCGGCGTGCTAATATAACGTTAATATAAATAACTTCCTCTAACCTGTCTAAAATTCTTGTGTATCGTGCGTATTTGTAAACATTCTATTGAAAACCGGAGGGGGCTGTGGAACCACGGAAAAAATTCGCTCGGCAAGCAATCCCAGCAATCCCCCTTCCGTTCCGATCCATTCCTCGCGGCTCCGATCCGCGGTAGTGGGTGGCCTCTAACTTATGTAATTATATACTTTTTGAAATTTCCGTTCCGTTGCGATCCGTTCCGATCCATTCCGTTCCGCGATAATGTGCCTCCTGCTTAAAGCCTTATATGGCTGTGAGGATCGTCGGTCGTTCGGATTTCGCTTTGAATAAAAAGATTAGAATTTCGCGTAAACAAGTAAGCCCCGTCCACATTATCCGACAGCAAAAAAAAAGACGTTAACTTTAAAAAATGATGCAACTTCAATCAAATTCATTAAAATAAATATAGATTATTATGACGAAACACTGGCTTTCCAAAAAAAGTAATTGGTAGAATAATTGAAGAATACAAAATTATTCCTAACTACAGATTTATATTTCTATTTTAATACCGTATGATCGAAAAAAAACGGCGTCCAGTTGGCTGGGAAATGACGATCGTTGACATTTCCCATATAAATTTACATATAAAATGACAGCGATCTTCATTTCATAGCCATCGCTGACGCCGTTTTTTCTCGATCATACGGTATATTCTAGCAAGAGTTCTACTGACAAATGACAAAGCATGAAGAAATTATTAAAGCAAAAATTTCGTATAATCGAAAAAAAACGGCGTCCAGTTGGCTTGGAAATGACGATCAATGACATTTCCCATATAATTTTACATATAAAATGACAGCGATCTTCATTTCATAGCCATCGTTGACGCCGTTTTTATTCGATCATACGGTATATTTAGTACCGTCCGATCAAAAAAAAACCGCGTCCAGTTGGCTTGGAAATGAACATCGATGACATTCCTCATATATTTTACATATAAAATGACAGCAATCTTCATTTCATAGCCATCGCTGACGGCGTTTTTTTTTCAATCATACGGTATTTAGTTTTTAAATTTTATGTACTTACCGAGGTATTTACGTTATTTTAAGTGATATAAATAAAATTTAAATGAGATAAAAATCGCCTAAATGAGTAAGCAATTTAAAATTCAGATAATATGTATCGACTGATTCCTTCAATATTTGTAGCTAAATATAAAATTACGTACAAATATTATTTAGTCCATTTAATTTGCTTTATTTTACCTGTAATAGGTACCTCTACAGTCCTGCATTATAAATAAATAATAACCTATTAATGCCAGGGTAGCTTTTTAAAAATTAATAGGATGATTAGCAAAAAATCGTATTTTGGTTAACAGCGGTTAGGTTATGTCCTAAATTTTATTTTAAATTTAATTCACTGAAGTAATGATGGAATAAATTAATTATGCACACTGCAGAAAATTCTGGGGTAGTTCTGCCGGCATATGGAACCGCATGTTGGACCTACCTCAATTCTTATGGAAACATCCCCTTTGAAAGTTAACGTCTTAAAATCTGGTACCAGGCTCAATCTGTAATGTTTCGGTTTTACATTTGGTGGTAATCTCTGAAAGGGTTTCGTCGCTTCAGGCATCTTGTTCGCAATTTGAGTGACCGAACTCGAAAAATTTCTCGCAACACCGTTAACCGAAGAATACAAACACTGCCGATACCCCACTGACACAATGTACGGGCTGAGGCGGTCCGTTCGAAAGCGGTGAGGGAAACGGCCGGATAACGGTACTTCTTTCCAAGTGCACCAATTTCTCAAAGAACCCGTTGGGCGACGAAAGGTACTGAATAGGCGGACAATACTGTTTGACATTGAAAACGACACCGGCTTTCTTTTATTTGTGGAAAACGGTTTATTTTTCAACCACGACATTGAAATATGATTGAAATGTTGAAATTCACACCTGTATGTTATGCAACCAACATTACTAATTTCATGTCAGATTATTAGGCAACTAAAAATTCATTCTCATTTTTTCAAGATATCTTATTAAAAAGGGAAATAATAAAATATGTAGGTATACAAATTTTCAAGAATTTCTGACGATACATTTTAACATTTTAACAATAATTCTGTAACTTATTTGTAAAACCCTAGCCGAGGACATAAACAAACTAATCTGTGAAACTAATCTACGTTCTAGAATATATGACTCCTCAAATGCGCAGATGCATGCATCAAACCTGCTGATCGCCATTATGATTTTTATTAGTCATCCAATGCCTTCTATTAAAAGATCAGCCTACGGGCGGACTTTTGTTTACTTCATCAGCTGTACATACTTAGATATTGGGTTAGATTCCGTTTCATATTTTGTCGGTTGATTTTTGGTTTTAACTCTTTGATTTTTGGTATTATTTATTATTGTAGTGCAAAAAACTAATTATTTTGGTGTTGAAGTGACATAAACTACTACCAGATATATGGTCACTCGGTTTCGCACAAAAAATAGAAATTTTAAAAAATTACACGTTGTGCAAGTGATTTAACCTAAAAGTGCCCATACATTTTTTACTTATCGTGATTTTTGTGTGTGTTTTTTAAGACTCTAACAATTCATCAATAAAGCTTAAGTGGAGTGTGTTATTGGTGCTATGCCTCATCTTTGTTGTGTTCCTGGTGGAAAGGATGGTTACTAAGGATAGTTATTATACTAGGCAGCCTAAAGTGTCCGGAAGAGCAAGAAAAGTGGGTACGAGTTATAAATCAAGAGAATTCTATGGAAAATATCTTTAATAAATTTAAAAATAATATTCTCCCATGATGGTATTAATGAATACTGGACAATTATGTTTATTTTATTCATATTGTGGGAGATTCCACAGTGTCCAAGTGTTGTTGGTTCAGCTTCGATAGATTCAAACACGTAAGTAGGTATTATGATCTAGGGAAAAATAAAGAATATGTGTATTAAAGATCATGAAAAAGATTATTATTTTGAGTTCAAATTTTAAAAAAAAATTTTGTAAAGACAAGACTGATACAGTTTAAAAGAAGAATGTGTTTTTGTTTGATAATATATAATGTATGTTAAGCATAACATATATTTGTTCAGTAATTTTTAATGAATAGTATTGATTATTTATAATACCAAATTAATATCAAATATTTAAGTGATGGCTGAATACAATATGAATAAAATAACAATAAAATTGGTATATTTGCATAATACAAAATTAAGTTTTAAGAATAAAGGTGTTACTAAAAATACTAAGAAATTCATATTTCTTTGTTTTAATTGGTCTAATGTTATTTACATTTTACGTAAGAATTATACCGTATCATCGAAAAAAATCGGCGTCTAGTTGGCTTGGAAATGAACATCGATGACATTCCCTAAATAACTGTACACATAAAATAATTAACTAGAATTTTACAATCTTGGAAAATTTGATATTCTTTTGAACCTTGATTCTAAATATTCTAAATTTTTTGATTTTCTTGGAATTTAGGTTCGGGAAAACGCTGATTGATTTTTCATTTGTTTTTCATTATTTTATTTGTTTAAAAAAACGGTTCGGCTAACATTATAGCCTCCATCAGTGTTGTGTCATATGAAAAAATAGTGTCGAATATAATCCAAAAAATTGCATATAAAATATGCACACCACGCACATAATGTTTACTGCGTACTCCATAGTCAATGTAGATAATTTTAGTGTTAAGAATAATAATTTTAAAAAATATGTGGTCATCTTTTTGATAAGTTTATATTAGTTTATTAATTGCAGTAAACATTATGAGGTGTGAATTATATTGTATATGTAATTTTTGGATTATATTCGACACTATTTTTCTCATATGACACAACACTGTGAAGGCTATAGTTAGCCGAAACGTTTTTTTTTTTAAACCAAATAAAAAATAATGAAAACCCAAATGAAAACTTAATCAGCGTTTTTCCCGAACCTAAAATCCCAAGAAAATCAAAATTTTAGAATAATTTAACATATAAAATGCCAGCGATCTTCATTTCATAGCCATCGCTGACGCCTTTTTAGATAATATTGTATTATTTGTAAATATAATTTTTCGAACATTGATACTTGCAAAATATACATATAAATTTTGTGAATGCAAATAATAATACATCACTATTAGTAGATATTCAATGTTTTTTGTTAAATTAGATCGATTTTCAAACCCCAAAATTTAAAATATATTTACATTTTACCCATTATCTTATGTACCTATACATTATTTGTACATTGTAAAACATTTGCTGCATATGTATGGTTCATAGTTTATTTGCCAAAGTATTTATTACTATAAATAGGTATATATGTTGTAGTTATTAACTGTATATTATGTATATTTCATTTAAACTATATCATTTTTAAAATACAAACCAAAAAATCTGAGGAATAATTATGTTTTCCATGTATTCTAGAACATATTTATTAATCCGTTATGACTCCTCAAATGCGCAGATGCATGCATCAAACCTGCTGATCGCCATTATGATTTTTATTAGTCATCATTATTTGTGTACTGTCACTGTTTGTAAACAAGGCATTTTTTACCAAAATTTGCATCACAAAACAAGTTAAAGTGCTGTTCGGTGAAGTATAATGCTTATTATTGCCTTCCATGGTAAGTTTCATAATAACATCATCTCCCGTGGTGAAAATCTAGTGGAGATATTTACAATAACAATGACCTTATTTCAAGGTTCATTCTGTTCTTTAAATAGCATGGACTGTACACGCTTCAGTATATTTTATTTAATTTTAGAACGAAATGGAAGAAGAAGACACAAAATTGTTGGGCTGCTTGCAAAAGCTCGAATTAGAAGCTCCTAAACGTAACAATATAGATTCCAACGACAACCCATTCAGGAGAAGATCAAAATCATTATCAAGCATTACCAATTTAGCTCAAAAGGCATGCGAATGTGCGCGGAAACAATCTGCTGTGAAGAAAACCACATCTTTTAAACGTCAAGGCAAAAAAATCCTACGCGATCCTGTGTTACGCATTGTAAAATTTAAAGGTGCACATAAAAAATCAAAAACCACGACTGAAAAACTATTTGGGCATTGCTCTAAACATACCGAAAAAGACTTTAAATCGCTGATAAATGCTTGTGAGCAGCTCAGTTTGGATACTGCAGCTATGAAAACACGTGAGACATTTTCTTCAGAGAGTTTTCAAAAAGCTCGAGGTGCATCGCTAGTTCAAACTAATTCTAAAGTTGATCTAAACAGTTTAGCCAGTTGTTCACACCAAGCAAGAATGAATATAAATCCACCTTGTGATGTGACAATCGATGAACTGGCAAGTTATTTTGAAACATCGGTACATATTCCTAAAAAAATGAGCTCCATGGCAGAGATGATGTATATTTAAAGTTAGAGTATTCTCAGTTTAATGTATTGTTTGTAAGTTCTTATGAAATTACTTGTATTAATCTCATTAGTTTTCTTGGGTTTAAGAGTCATATAAAATTATTAAACAAGACTCATGGCTGGTTCATACTTCATACTTACAACGTTAATTGTAACACTAAGCCTAATCTCAAGAACATGAATCAGTGTAAATGAGTGGTTCAATTACCGCGATCTTAACATTAGCATTAGTCCTAACAGGTTAAAAATATGGGATATTTTATATTTTAAATTAAATTGCCCATGCTCAAAACTTTTAAATAATTTTCATGATATGCCAAATTTGAGGGTTTATAAATGTTTATAATTATTATATCTATTCTTTGGTCTAGAAATAGTTAATGTGTATTTACAAATAAGGAAGTTAGTCTCCGTCAGGGTGCAATGATTTAAATGAAACACAAAGTTACACTTGCTGAAAAATAATTGTCAAAGATAGGTATAACAAATTTAATAATACATATCCTGATTTTTGAAGTTACATATTTCGTTATTTTGTGTGAATCCATTAGACTTGGCAGATGGCAGAGATTTATTTTGAAATTGTGCTGAAAATCCGGTATTTGAATACATTTCATTTGCAAACTCTAGTGCAGAACTAGTTTCTTCTGGTGTTAGGTTATATTTTTTTCCCGAGGACTGGAGTGTAGAGAAGAAAAACCAAACCATACCTCTACACTCCATAATCTGCCATAATCAATGTCAAAAAATGAGCTGGTGTCAGGCTGTTTTATACCATTTTTGAAACAGATGAATGTTGATCAAGCCAACTTCTGCCTTCCCTAATTTATCTTCTAGTTCATTCCAAATTTCTAGCGACATTTTGTTCTGCAATAAGTACCTACCTACTTATTAAATGGTAGGTACTAATTTTATTCTTATGACATTATTATGTATTTCAAAAAAAAATCCCTTTGCTCTAAGCGGGCGATTTTTTTTGCGAGAATAGGGGCATCGGCAAAGTTTACTGAATAAAATATATCGGTGATCGATGTGGAAGAACGACACATACCGTAGAAATGTTAATATTATCGATATCGGGCAGAGTTACGCATATTTAGCCATTTAGGATACTATTTTAAATAGAAAATTGATTAAAATAATAAAAATGTTTTTTTAAAATATTGATTTTTTTGCACCGTGATCTCCATACTTCTCTAATTTTAAAAATGTTTGTTAATCTGTGTTAAAGCAAAACATTATGTTTCATATGAACACAGGCACATACTAGAATATCATTAAGACATGTTGTGGAAATATGAACAGCTTTTCCATGAAGTATGGACCAGCCATTAGATCTCTTGATCATTTTTCACTCTTAAATGAGTTTTTCAACTGTAATCTACTGTTTTTCATTTGAGAAATCTATTTAAATTAATAAAATTATGAACTACATTTTTTTTATTCATTTTATCCTTGTTTATTTTATACAGGGTTGTTCACCACATACGACACGGAGTATTGTAGCTAAACGATTAAATTTTTACAAATTGTAAGTTTTGGGTTTGTTGAAGGACTATTAGATCTACAATTTAAAAATATTTTTACAAGATACAGAGTGTATCATATGTAAAAAATATTATAGTTGTATTTTTTTATATGGAACACCCTGTATATTATTCTATTTTTAGATTCTTCGGTTGAAATAAAGGTAAATTTGATTAAGGTTTATCACACTTAAACCTTATCGTTTTTGAAATATTTTCAATTTTATGAAATTGCAGTAAAAAATTTAAGGCTTCATTTCTCCAAGGGTATCAAAGATTTTAACACTAAATATTTACTGAAGAATATTATTGTTCAGATATTGTGTTGCAATTATAAACAAAATACTACCTTATATAGCGTGTCTAAAAATTTATATTAAATAATTACTAGCTTTAAACAGCAAAAACTTGTTTAATTTAAATGGAACACTCTGTATATCTCGTAAATATTTTACGAGAATCAGATGCACAATTTAATTGTCTATCAAATTGTACTATACCATTTTTTACCTATCTCTTCAAGTTTTCGTAGAAAATGCATTTTCTTATAATTTAGACCTCATTTTTTATCACTATACCCATGGAATATTGACATTTTAAATTATTTTTAAAGATGTAACAAACTTTTAAAGAGTACCAGGTAAATATTAGTATCTGTCGATATAGTTCGCTTATTTAGAAGTGTCTAGCCCCAGCAGGCAACTATTCAGCTTGATCAATCAGGTTGGTTAGCGTGGTTATTTGGAGGGTGTTGATTCATTTGTGTTTGGTCAAAAACTCTAACGTGATTGGTCGGGCTTAATAGTTGCCTGCTGGGGCTAGACACAACTGCTTATTTCATTAAAAGATAAAAAACTGTTTAAATATTTTTTTGTTAAAGAGGACCAATTAATATGATCCTAGAATTCAAACTACATTAATTGACTGTTTACGTTGATTAATAATAATTGCTCAAAATACTAAAAAAACTGAATTTTATATGTGTATTTAGACAGTGTGGTAAAAATTAACACCTTATACATTTTATTTAATTTTTTGACGAATTCTTATATAATAGAAGGATAATAGAGACGTTCATTTTCTTAACTTATTATTATATTAATTTCTGAGTCATATCCACATTTGTTAAAAATAATTTATTAATTAAAACAATTAAGTATGTAATTAACTAATTTTTGGGCGGAAATAATGATGGTAGGTATCTTAGATTAACAATGTAGGTATATTAATAATTAGTAATAATTGGTATACTCTTTTACAAAGATTTAAATAGTTTTCTTTTTGTAAACAAATGGGCTTGCAATATTATTAATTTTACCATCTGTACATTTTCTACATACCTATGTATGTTGCTTTAAAAAAATCTAAAACGTCTATTTCATGATAAATGACGTCTAAATTATAAGAAAATGCATTTTCTACGAAAACTTGAAGAAATAGGTAAGAAATGGTATAATACAATTTGATGGACAATTAAATTGTGCATCTGATTCACGTAAAATATACAGGGTGTTCTATTTAAATTAAACAAGTTATTGCCGTTTAAAACCAGTAATTATTTAATATACATTTTTGGACACTCTGTATAACGTAGTATAATTGTTATTATTGCAATACAATATATGATCAATAAATAAACTTCAGTAAATATTTAGTGTTAAAAACTTTGATACCCTTGGAGAAATGAAGCTTTAAAAAATTTTTCTGCAATTTCACAAAATTGAAAATATTTCAAAAACGGTAAGGTTTAAGTGTGATAAATCTTCATCAAATTTACCTTTATTTCAACCGAAGAATCTAAAAATAGAATAATATACAGGGTGTTCCATATAAAAAAATACAACTATAATATTTTTTACTTATTTGGGACACTCTGTATCTAGTAAAATTATTTTTAAATTGTACCTTTAACAAGGAACCCAAAACTTACAATTTATAAAAATCTAATCGTTTAGCTACAATACTCCGTGTCGTATGTGGTGAACGACCCTGTATAAGGCGGACTAAATGATAATGGAGCTGAAGAAAAACCAAATATTTTATACAAAGACATTTATTAATATTTTTTAATATTCTTATAATAACCTTATATAAACAACTATTCCTATATACAACATAACATCAGTACAGTGACTAAACTGCACTTTTAGTAATTTTAAAACAGGTCAAAAACCATAGCCGATTCCATTTCTATACAATTTGTATGAAATATTTTGAAAATACTGATATAACTTTTTCGTTACGATGTTCGAATGGAAGTATTTGAAATTGTTTATAAATGGTTTCAGAAGATTTTTGACCCGTTTTTGATTTTATTTTCCTCAACATATTGAAAAATAACAAACTCTCCATCACAAAAAGAGTAGTTTTTCACATCGAATTTTGACAATGAACGAAAAGTATACAAATAATATTCCTCTATTGTTAAAATTAACGAAAACCAATTTGTTGTTGTTCAAATAACCAATCACCAAAAAAATATTGATTTTATTAGTGAGTGGAAAAAAACGTATTAAAACAAATATTTCCTACGAAATGAATGTTCTAATTGCCTTAAATAATGATCAATCCTTTTCTAAAAATAAATTTTAAATAGGCAACCTATAATAATTATTAAAAGGTTTATTATAAGTTGCCTAAAACTGAAAAAGTTTTTATCAAACATGATTCAAAATTAATTTGAAACGGCGCAGCTGGAAGCGTGCACATGGAACAATGGATGTGAAAAAACAGCATAAATGTAATTGCTAAGTTTTCGTATATTCCGGAACTCGTACTGTGTAAAGGAACACTTTCTTAATGCTGAATAGGGTATTCCATTTTGATGTGTTTCATGGGGTTTCTTGCTTATGAGTTGAGATAGAAAGTTACAGGTTCGTGGTGATGAGAGCGAAGATGCCGCATAGCATTATACACTAAGATTCAAAAAACAACGGAAATATTTTTCGTCAAGTTTAAGGGGTATATTTTTCTTATTTTTTAGCCCTATTTTCATGATTTTTACCAAACTATATATAAATCTATCAACTTTAGTTCATAAACACAATTTTTTTTAAACTTTAGTATTTGGCTGATTATACAGGGTTAATTAAAGGATTGGTTTTCACCTTGTGTAATAATTTCGTGTATAACTTTTCCTAAAACGTTATTTTTCAGATCCAGAACCATGTCTCCTGAGCATCTTGTTTATTGACCCATGACAACACATGCCTTGGTTGATTTTAAGAGCGAAATGAGCATGCCACCAACAATTTGCAATTTTAAAACTTCCACCCTTAATAATCTTCCAATTTGCAGTTAAAAATATGAAAAATCGGGGAGACACGTCAATTTTGTTGTAAGCGGGTCACCTTAAATAAATATTTTAGCCTTTTTCTTTCAATCGTTTTTAAAGGCGTTTAATTCTCTTTTCAGTGGTATCCTACTTTGTTGCTTTTTGTCCAGGGGTTTCCGAATAATCGCCTTTCAAAGTTGCAGAAACATGCCTGCATTGAGATTTTGATTTTCAGGCTATAGTGCTTACACAAAAATTATTGCAATGGGACTCCTGGTAATACAAATGATTAGAAAATTAGTAGCCATTACATTTTTCAAGGGGGTCGAAATTCGAAATACTAATAAACAGGAAACATCATAAACATTAACGTTTAATTTCTCAAATTGGAATGAGTGGCAAATTCCAGAGGAGACATGGTCCTCCCCTGCCTCCCCTGGAATTCGCTACGGCCATGGGTGGCACGTGTGAAATTTTGTTTCGGGATTGGCAAAGTAAACTCAAAAAATTCGCATCAAGTAATCCTAAAAAAAATTTGAGAGTATCTACCTGGTTAATTTTGCGTTACTCGGAAACCTATGGACAAAATGCAACAAAGTAGGATACCACTGAAAAGGGAATTAAACGCCCTTTAAAGCGATGTGCCACTTGACCCCCATTTCCCATTTAAGATTGTAAGTCCTAGGGGGTTGAAAGAAAAGGCTAAAAATATTCAATTAAAGTCCCCCTTACAAATAAAATTGACATGTATTTCGATTTTTTCATATTTTTAACTGCAAAAGATATTAAGGGTAGGAAGTTTAAAAAATTGACACAGTGTATATTAAACTTTAAAAACGTTTAAGAAATGCGATACTTGGTTTTAATATAAAAATTAGTAGTAACACTAACACAGTTAGCCTGGGCCAAGATGTCAAGAGAAAAAAATATATAAACTTTAGTGCTTTATTTTTAAATGCGATACCACTGGCTTCAAAAATATAAAAATTAAAATCGCCGACGTACAATTGAGGTCTCTACACAAATTTAAAAAAAACTTTTCAAGTTTTTTTTTTTTTTTTAATAATAAACAACGACCATCATCACCAAAAGGTATACTTACTGTTGCCCCCCTCCCACTGTTTCTAAATCAGGAGGTGTCTCTGCAAATTTAAATAAAATAAAAAAAAAAAAAAAAAAAAAAAAAAAAAGCAAAAATTTTTTCTAATATTTTAGTGATAAAATTTTACTTTATTATCATAAGTATTAGTAAACAAGTAAAACTACAAACTAACAATTAAGGAAGTACAATTAATAACTTTAAACACACACTGAATTTAGACTAAAAAGGAAGAAAACAATTAGGTACTAGCTATAAAGTAAAATAAATAAACCAAACATGGTTACTGTTGTAGGAAGAAACACTCCTAAGGAGATTTTTTTGATCTCGGATTTGAATTAAAGTTTTTTGAGAACAAAACTTAAAGGAATGATGCACCTGCTCTGAGGCTTGCTCAGAGTAAAAGCCCAATGTTTTCTGTGAAATACTAACAAAATCCGGTATATGGTGAACAACAGCGAGAATTTTTTGGGGTGAAACTGATTTTACCAATGTCTTCATTTTATCGAAAATTCAGGGAAAATATATAGGCATC